CCCCCAGCACGTCCACACCCCAGCACGACCACCCCCCAGCACGACCACACCCCAGCACGACCACTCCCCAGCACGACCACACCGCCTTGGTTGAGTGGTTGCCTGTCGTCGTGGAATGTTTCGTGGGGTGTTCTCGTGGAATGTTTCGCGGGGTGTCTCGTGGAATGTTTCGTGAGGTGTCTCGTGGAATGTTTCGTGAGGTGCCTCGTGGGATGTTTCGTGAAGTGTCTCGTGGGATGTTTCGTGAGGTGTTGCCCAGTTGGGTATCGTGAAAACGTGTCCATGCTCCACATGTCTATATCCCTTTCCGGGTCGTGGGTCCATCAGTTTTCCCGGAAAGGGCATGGGCCCAGGGTTCTCTTTTAGTGGTAAACTGTCCCCCGGTGCCAACTTGAAGGAGGCCGGCGAATTTTTTCCCTGATAAATATCGAGGTCGAAGGAGGCCGGCGAATTAAAATTTGAGGATGTCTCGAGCGAAACGCTTGTTTTTGAAATCCCGATCGATAAATCACAGGGTGCGGGCCACTTTTTCGTGTGTTGAGGATGTCTCGAGCGAAACGCTTGCTCCGCAGAGTTTGCCGAGGATGTCTCGAGCGAAACGCTTGTTTTGCAGAGCCGACCGCGACGCGGAAAGCGCCCCGCGCGAAGGAATTTCGATGATGTCTCGACTAATTGTTTGTTTTTGTACGATTTCCTGGAATTTTGGCAGGATGTCTCGAGCGAAATGCACGACCCCACCCTAGCACGACCATACCCCAGCACGACCACACCCAGCACGACCAGACCCCAGCACGACCCCACCCCAGCACGACCCCACCCCAGCACGACCATACCCCAGCACGACCACACCCCAGCACGACCCGACCCAGCACGACCCTACCCCAGCAAGACCACACCCCAGCACGACCACACCCCAGCACGACCTCACCACAGCACGACCACGCCCCAGCACGACCACGCCCCAGCACGACCACGCCCCAGCACGACCACGCCCCAGCACGACCACCCCCCAGCACGACCACCCCCCCAGCACGACCACCCCCCAGCACGACCACCCCCCAGCACGACCACACCCCAGCACGACCACTCCCCAGCACGACCCCCACGACCCCCAGCACGACCACACCCCAGCACGACCACACCCAGTCGCACCCCCGTGGAATGTTTCGTGGGGTGTCTGGTTGAGTGGTTGCCTGTTCGTGGGGTGTCTCGTGGAATGTTTCACGGGGTGTCTCGTGGAATGTTTCGTGAGGTGTCTCGTGGAATGTTTCGTGAGGTGTCTCGTGGGATGTTTCGCGGGGTGGCACGACCATACCCCAGCACGACCACCCCCCAGCACGACCACCCCCCCAGCACGACCCCCCCCCAGCACGACCCCCCAGCACGACCACACCCCAGCACGAGCACGACCACACCCCAGCACGACCACACCCCAGCACGACCACACCCAGTCGCACCCCCGTGGAATGTTTCGTGGCGTGTCTGGTTGAGTGGTTGCCTGTTCGTGGGGTGTCTCGTGGAATGTTTCAAAGGGTGTCTCGTGGAATGTTTCGTGAGGTGTCTCGTGGAATGTTTCGTGAGGTGTCTCGTGGGATGTTTCGCGGGGTGTCTCGTGGGATGTTTCGTGAGATGTCGCCCAGTTGGGTATCGTGAAAACGTGACCATGCTGCACATGTCTTTATCCCTTTCCGGGTTCGTGGGTCCATCATGTTTTTTTTTGTTGTCGCCGCTTTCGGGCCCCCCCGGGGACCCATCCTGGGCCCCAGCGCCGTCGGTGACCCGGGTCAGTGCGTCCCCGATCCGGGACCCGTTTCTCAGGGGCAACGAAAGGGGGGGATACGCAGATGGGGGGATGCATCGACCCCCAATCGCCTATTGACCGCCGATAGGGGCCCGATGGCCCCAAACTGCCCAGGAGCGTGCGGATCCACTATCGGGGGCCTATCGCCGATCCATCGGCGATGTCTCACCGATTCCAGGTGGATGTTCCCCCCCTATGCCAGTTCCCCCCGATCGTTGCCCTTCAGTTTCCCTCAGGACCCGTCTTCCTCCTCCTCCTCCTTCTCCCTCCTCCTCTTCCTCCTCCTCCTCATCCTCCTCCTCCTCCGTCCTCCTCCTCCTCCGTCCTCCTCCCTCCTCCCTCCTCCCTCCTACTCCCTCCACCCCCTAGGATGCTCTCCAGGGACCCCCCGAGAGGCCAACACGCGCCGGTTTCCAGCGGAAGCCGATGCCAAGAAACACCTTGCGTGCCTCCAGGGTGCCCTGGGGGTTCTTAGGTTTCGATGGTTTTGCCATGCAAAGCGCGACGTTCCCACACCAAAAGTCCACGGACGTCCTGGTGTCTCAGGGTTGGGTTTCTCGTGGAACGTTTCTTGTTGACTGGCATCCACTGTAGCATTCTTCGGCCCACGTGCGTGCGGTCCTCGAAGGCCCAGCATGGGCCCACGGAGCGCCCCAGAGGAGGCCCCTCTGACGGCCAATGACGGCCCCCTGGCCGTCAGCGCTCCTGGTCGAGCGGCCTCGCCGGGTGGGGCTCGCGGGCGTCGCTCCACGAGCGTGCTCCGCAGGCCTAGAGATTAACACCAACACCAATATCGGCGGTGTTCCTCCACCGAGGGAAGAAAGATCCCGATCTCGGTGATGGTGGTAATTTTCTGGCTTCCAAGGTGGCCGAAATATTACCACCAACATCGAAATCTAGGATTATTTCCCCCCTGTGGAGGCAGCCCCCCGTCTTGGTGTTGGTGCCCATTTCCAGGCCTCCAAGTGCTCTGCCGGATTCCTCGTGGCCGGTGTCGCGTGTCGACGAACCACGTTTCCAAGATCTTCCACTGCAGCAGCTGCTCAGCGGCCTTCGATGCTGCCCACCGCTGCGGGGACTCTCAGCGCCGACTCGCGGCGAGAGTCATATGCCTGTTGGCAGCCTGGCGTGCGTCTGCTCGGCCTCGTGAGCGGCTTCGACAGCATGTCCCCGAACAGAGTTTCCTAAAGGATCGGCGAATGTTTTCCGTGCGGCACCGCAACACGCGCTGCGCCCCTTTGCCATGCTCGAGCGTTGCCACGACATGCCGACCCGTCCAGAATGCCAGCGGAATTGCGTGCCCGCTTTCTGCAACGCCTAGCGATGGGGTGACAGGGGACCTCCACGACCCAGGGGTTCGCTCCCACTCCCGCTGATGAGCCAGATCCTCGCAGAACCCTAATTAGCCCTCGCTGGACGACCTCGGCATCGACCCCAACGAAATGCGTTCGACGACCAGTTCCAGTGTTCGCAACGGAACTCGCCCTTTTCGTCACCATGTCGTCGGTTGCGAGCACTTGGCCCTTGCAGTACCCATCGCCCACAGAGAACAATATGGTTGAAGTTGCTGAACTTGCACCTGCAGCCCTGCTCGCGCTTGCCCCTCAAGCTCTAACTAAAGATGATGTCATGTCTGTCGACGAGCTCGACGTTCTCTTCGGGGTCGATCAAATGCCGACGCACCTGCTACAGGAATCGTGGGGAGAGGTCCCAGCCATGGCCAGCTGGAAGTTCGCCACACCCGGCACCCTCTGGATGTGTTGGTGTGCCTCGGGGGCTTCTAGATTGATCGCCAGAGTCTCGACTGGACGCCCAACTTGAAGAGGAAATTGGCATGGAGGAGGGTTGAGATTTCATGTCGTTCCCTGACTATGACGGCGCAGTGGTGGTGAAGTTGGTAATGAAGGTCAACATTGACGGAACTGGGGTCTTCCCCGCGATTTTGCGCGTGTTGGGTGGACCTAAACTCGCTGGATTCGCTCCACTCGAGGATGGGGATTGTGGTGGTGATCCTCCTTTCCCTGTCTTCGCCGGTGGGTGTATTCGTGCCGCTGGCCATGCCAATGCGCAAGGTGTGGGAGAATGGCTGTCTCAGGAGGCCCTCGACGAGACGATTGAAGATCCGTGGGACCAGTATGATGAACCAGTTCTGGCGGTGTAAGTGGAGCCAGAGTGCGACGATGGGAAGGATGGCTTCATTGACGCGCTGGTCTTAGGCCTCCATGACCACATCGATCTGCACGACCAGGAAAAATTGGTGTACAACTGCAGCGACTGCCAAATCGACGGCTTCGATTCGATAACGAGTCTTGACTTCGAGGAACATGCGGCCGAAGACAATCACAGCAGTGAACTTGCGACTCATGTTGCGGCCCATCACTGCGTGGCCACGACCACGTCTGGTGCAACAAGCGACTTCATGTCAAGGGGTGTTGTCAGCCTTCTCATCCTCCTCATCCTCCTCATCCTCCTCCTTTCGTCGTCGTCGTTGGTCCTCCTCCTCCGCCTCCTCTCCTCCTTTTGCCTGCCCTCCTGTCTCTGGCCCTGCTCTTGGTTGCATCCCTGCGCGCTGCGCACCTGCGCCCCCTATGCACCATAGCTTCGAGGACAACGGCAGGGCGGGGGGATGCCGCTTGCCCGCGGCCAGCGGCAGAGTCGAGCAGTTCCTCCGGCCAGCTCCCACGCTTTGCTGTATAGGCATCCGAGGATGAGCCCTCGTCGCGTCATCTTGCAGGCGGGCGCTGTCCTGCCGCCCTCCCCCCCGGTCGTCCTCCCCGCCTCCTGTTGGGAAACGAGGGATGACGAAGGCAGAAGAACTCTCGCATCGGCGCTGGATCTCCCTCCCTGGCGCACGGAGCGCGCAAGGGGCAGCGCCAGAGGCGCCGCCAGGGGTCCCCAGCGCCGATCTGAGGAATCTGCGCGGACCTCTGAGTTGTGATGTTTATGCCATTGCTGATTCCCTTGACCTTGTCCCCGCCCTCCTCCTCCCCGCCCTCGACCTCAGGTTCTTCCAGGGCGTCATGTTCGCCGCCCTCCTCGGGGCGCTCTTCCTCCCAGGCGCCGCTCGGGGCCGCCCGTCCCGCCAGCGATGGCGCCTCGTCGTCGGCGGTCGTCGGCGTCGTCGTCGACGTCGCCCCCTTCCTCCTCCTCCTCCTCCTCCTCCTCCTCCTCTCCTCCTTCTCTCCTCCTCCTCCTCCTCCTCTCCTCCTCCTCCTCCTCCTCCTCCTCCTCCTCCTCCTCCAACCTCCTCCAACCTCCTCCAACCTCCTCCAACCTCCTCCCCTCCTTCCTCCTCCTCCCTCCTCCTCCTCCCTCCTCCTCCTCCTCCTCCTCCTCCTCTCTCCTCCTCCTCCCTCCTCCCTCCACCCTCGCTCCTCCTCTCCCTCCACCCTCCTTCCTCCTCCCCCTCCGCCTCCTCCTCCTCCTCCTCCTCCTCGTCCTCCTCCTCCTCCTCCCCTCCTCCTCCTCCTCCTCCTCCTCCTCCTTCTCCTCCAGCCTCCTCCCTCCTCCCCGTCCTCCTCCTCCTCCTCCCTCCTCCTCCTGCTGCTGCTCTTCCTCCTCCTGCTCCTCCTCCTCCACCTTCTCCTCCTCCCTCCTCCCTCTTCCCTCCTCTAACCTCCTCTTCGGGGTCGGAGGAAGAGGAGGAGGAGGAGGAGGAGGAGGAAGAGGAGGAAGAGGAGGAGGAGGGTGGAGGGGAAAGTGGAGGGAGGGGGAGGTTGAGGAGGCGGAGGAGGAGGAGGAGTACCTGTGTAAATCCAAGACATCAATGATGCCGCAGTAGTCCCTCCTGTCATGTTCCCTCGTCGTAGGGCCCTACAATCATTAATTGCTATTGCGGGAAATATTCCATTGTAATGCCCGTTTTTGAAAACAGTTGTGCCAAGACACCATTCCTGGGATTTGCACTTTGCGACTCAACGTGACTGTTGCGTCCTGACAATCCTAAATCGCACCAGGACGCAATACGAATCTCGGCGACTGTTGCGCCCTGACAATCCGAAATGTTGTTCGAGAACGATTCCTAGGGTTTTGACCATGCGAATCCTTGAAACTGTTGCGATCGACCTTTCACACGCATGTGCGCGGCGCTAAGACTAGAGGCGCAGCTTGAAAGAGAGCCGACCTTCATGCTTGAGGTTGCTGCAAACGTGTAAGTCGCAGGTGCGCGTCGCCAGTGCGAGAGCAACATATTGAAAACAATCCGCCCTCCACCCGTGAAGCTGCTGCAATCTTGTTCGAGGAATGTGCACGGCGTTGCGGCCAGAGCCGCAGGTTGGAAACCGCCTTCTGCATGCTTGAAACTGACTGTTGCGGCGCTGCGGCGAGAGCCACATTTTGAAACCACCCGCCCTCCATACTTGAAACGGTTGCAATTGTTGAAAGCGAATGTGCGCGGCGCTATAGCGAGAGTCACGTCTTGAAAACGGCCCACCCTTCATGCGTGAAACTGCGAAGAATTGTCGCAAATGTCAAGATTTAGGAGCAGAATGGTGAGGAAATTGCATGCAAAACGCCCAGCCTACCCTACCGACACGTTCGGGGGTGCGATACGGAGGAGTCATGCACAAGGAGAAGGGACAGATGGGGAGGAGGAGGATGAGGAGGAGGAGGAGGAGGAGGAGGAGGAGGAGGAGGAGGAGGAGGGGGGGGAGTGGGACGACCAGTGGGTATCCTCGGAAAGGAGATGTTGGCGTGGTGCAGGCTAGCGCCGCATTGACGCGGCGGCGTCCCCAGTCTCGGAGGTTTGAGAGTCATTTTTCTGTGTCGGCGTCTGGAGGCTCGTTTGGGCTCCGGTGCTGATCTAAAGACCTGTGCTGCTCCGTGTGTATTCATGAAGATTCGCGTTGTATGCCGCAGCGTTGTGCTCCCAGGTGCAGTGGTTGTGCCAAAACCAATCGTGAATCACATCCGTTCATATTCGCCGGGCTCCACATTGGTAGCGCGGAGCGTGTCTCCCTCAATGCGCCAGGCGGCGCACTTCGGCTTCTGTCTCATCTGCGTCGCGCGGCTCGACGCGATCTCCGATTAAGCTCCTAGTCTTGCCCTGTCGTTGTCATGGCCGACTCTGAGAATCACGGCGGCTCGGTCAGACATTTCTCAGGTGCCCGAGGAGCATGCGGCCTGGCGGAAGTGGGCGCGTGCGTGGATGAAGTGCAAGAGCGTGCCGGAAGACGCCCGCGGCTCCGCCTTGGTGACGCTCCTGACCAGCGCCGCCTTCAAGGCCATCCAGGAGGTAGAAGACGACCAGATCGAGCAGCCTTGTAACGACGACGTCATCTTCTCCATCCTCGATGACCACTACCCCGGGATGCCCGCCGACTCGGCGAGGTCGTGCGACCCATTGCGAGCCCGCCTCCGCCTGCGCACGGACAAGCACGTGAAGGCGAATGCCACACCGCTCGGGCAAGGGCTGTCTTCTCCGAAGGGGAGCGCGAGGGTGTCAGCCTGCCTGACATCGCGAGGGGCATCATCATGCCTGCAACATGTCGGCTAGAGCTGGAGAAGGAGGCGGTCGCCATGGAGGCCGCCAAAAGTTTACGGCGCGAGGTTGACGTTGTTCGGGCATTGCGTATCACGAGCCGTGCTGGCCTGGACGCGCTGCCGAGCTCCAATCAAGGTGTTCGTGCCTGGACCGGAGATCACATGTCCGGCCTGATGAGGGGGATGAACTGGTGCGCGATGCGCTGCTCGCCGATCGTAGAGTTCAAGATGATCCAGTACCCATCGACGAGCGAGACCTAATCGACGCCCTCATCAGCTGGAAGGAGCACGGGAAGCTGCATAGCTGGGCCGCGGTTTCGCGAAGCCGAATCTGAAATCCTACCGACCGCGGGCGCGCTGCCACAACTGCAGGAAGGTCGGGCACTTGCAGGAAGACTGCAGGGGGCCTGGGCGACCCACGGCGACGAGCTCAACCGCGAACGACGCGGCCAACCTCAAGGGGCACTTTTCGTCAACGCCAACACCTAGGATGAGGTCCAGGCCGAACGCCTGCGCACCGCGCGCCAGTTCTGCCCGTGGGAGGTCAGGCCTTCGACCATATCCTGAGGGCCACCGCCCGCCGGAGTCGTTCTCAGATGGGCCAGATGGGCGCCATAAGGTCGAGCAAGATTTTCTGCTATAGTTCACGCTGGGTCGTTCGACCCCGGATTTTGGATGCGCCGAGGGCATGGCGGGCGCGGTGGCGTCTGACAAGCACTGCGAGGACCTGCGACGGCAGCGTGGTCGACAGCCAGCGCGTCTCCCCGACGCGCCGACGGTTGCTTTCCGCTTCGGCAGCGACACCGGCCAGGCGTCGATGAGCGAGGCCTTGCTGCCTGCAGGAATCTTCTACCACGGTGCTTTGACCCAGTGGTCTCTCGCACCTGACGCGGCGACTTTCCTCGTGTCCATGCAGCATTTCAAGGCGATGAAGGCGAACGTCGGCACTGGTCGCGAAACGGTTGCGATCTGCGACCCACCCGAACGACAGCTCCCGACGGGGGCAGGCGGCCACGACATCATCTCGCCAATTGGACATCGACCGCGATGGCTTCAGCGACGACCTGCCGCCCGTCATCGACAAACCGGACGTCGCCATCTACGCGGCGTTGGCTGAGCCCGCGTAACATTCGGACGTTCTTCTTGCCCGTGAAGGTTCCGCTGGAGACCTTGCGGGCGCGACGGTTTGCAACCGGTCTGGAGGCCAACCCAACGAGGTAGGCCCCGAAGCTCGGGATGCGGCACAGCTATTTCTCGATGACAACCCGGGTCGGCGCGCGGCGACGATCGCGCTAGCAGACTCGGGCATCCACGTGCCCGCTGATCAGGAGGACTACGTCAGCGACGAGTACGAGGACCAGGAGGAGCCCAGGGTTGTTGCTCCAATTCCAGAGGCGCTGGCCACCGAGGTTGCTGCTGCTGCGCCCCCGTCTGCGGAGGCGACGGGTCAGCTCGCCAGGCGACAGAGACGACGCATCGCGCAGCGCATCGCTGACGTGACGACCGAGCTACGACGCGTCGGTCTCCGAGAGATGCCCAGTCCGGAGCGAGCGCGGCCCGCGGCAGAGTTCAAGGGACTGGGCTCGTTCGAGGCATTGGATCTCACGACCGGCTGGGATCTCCTACGAGCTGATCACCGAGGCGAGCTGTGGCGCAAGCTGCGAGAGGACAAGCTTGACAGGGCGGCGATGTCGCCCTTTCGCGCGCTGTTCAGCATCGCTCAGTTCATGGGCCCGAAGCTCGACCCCCTCATGCATGGCCGACGACTCGCCCAGGCACGGCTTCTTCTCCGACTGCGCGCGCAGGTGGCCATATGCCAGCTGGAATGCGGCCGACGTATTATATCGCGCAACCGCAGTCTAGGCGATCGTGGTTCGAGCCTGAGACGATTGAGCTCAGGGCTCGGGATGGCGCGCTCGGGGAATTTGGGCGCGTGTGTCCAGGCCCCTCAGTTCGAGCCCGACATTGCCCCAGCTGCTCAGCAAGAGATGCCGGGGATACCCCCGCCCCAGCACGAGATCATCCACGGAGGCGCTGGAGGCGAGCGTCGGGGCGCGGCCCCCCAGAGGTGCCCGCCGCAGATCATATGTACCATCGCCGAGGGCAGATCTCAGGAAAAGGCGGCCCTGGTCTCAGAGGTGGAGGTGGAGGAATCTCCCCGCGCTCGGGGCGCTCTGCGGCGGACTCCTGGGGCAGCGCCTCCACGAGACTCCCCTGGCAGACGCCGTTGTGGCCGCCAAGAAGATGCAGGTGGACGACGATGAGTCTCCAGCCGCACATGGACCATCCAGTCGTTGGCGATCTGATGCGCATTCTGATGCGCGGCAATGCTTTGGAGGACGCCATCAGCGTCGCTCGCCAGTTTAACTGCGACGCGCGCGAGGAGAACTCGGCATACAGGTTTCCCAGACCCGCAGCAGTGCCGCGCGATCTCTGGGTTATGTCCAAGGTCGGCTTCGACGTCGAGGAACTGCCGTACTGCATATATGAGCGGACATGGTTTGCCCTCAACGTCGTCGACGGTGCTAGCTCACCGCGGCAGATGATGCCGCTGGCTGGCAACAGGGAGGAGGGTG